CTTTGCATTTGATTACATAATGCATCTGTTTTATGAAGTAAAAGACTAAGCCAAACTGCATATTGTAGTGATTATCAAAGCTAGTGATTTGAACATTTGCAATTTATGTTAAATTTACAAACCATTTGTAGTGTATGAATAAATTTAATTAGTAAGTGCTTGATCTGCTTAGCTACCTTCAGATATGTTTAAATTGTCTTTGATAAGAAATTTCTAATAACTATTTTATTGAAAATGTGCTAGCTATAATAAACTATTTTATTATCTCATAAAGACCATTTGCTATTTTTGTTTAAAAATTTTATTGCTTATTTTATGGGTCATCTAATAAAGATCTATGGCTAATACTGTGTATCATTATAGAACTACCATCATATCTTCGTAAAAAGCATATTGTCATGCCAGCATTATGGTTTTCAAAGTGCAAAGTAAACATGAATCTTGTGCTGCAACCTTTTGTTGAAGAAACTGAACAGCTGCCAACTAAAGGTAACAACATCATGTGCATGTACCAAGTTTCAATTATATTTGGGCAGTTTACCAATATGTTAGACCAAATAAGCACAGCGCCAAAGAGGGAGCTTGATTGACCCATTCCCCCCCCCCCATTTATTAAATGAATCAAAAAGATTTATTTTCGTGGTTCTGATAAGTTCAATCTATGCTAAAAAAACTGTATCAATTTGTCTTAGAATTCTTATTCCATGGTCATCGTATATGGGGTTTTGCCCCTATTTGCTCTGCTGATGTCCCCGCAAGACCTAAACTGAAAAATACGAAGCAGTTTAATAACGTTTGTGGGTGAGATTGGTCTCTCCATGCAGGTATACTGTGCTTTATTTTTATCATATGCGATTTAACTGTGACATTTGATTCTAACCAAATCTGCAAGTTTACTCTCAACGACATTTCTCTCATAATCTTCCTTGTACAGACCCAGAAATGTTTGTCATTTGAGACGGCAAGGAAGTTCATCGAGGAAAATTATTTAAGTAACATTCATTCTATGAAATTTGCCAAATACAGATACGGCTTAACTTGTTTCCTTTGGAACTTTCAGACAAATCTTGCCCTTTTCAACTCGTTTTGCCATTGCGAGAATGATTCAAATGACTGACATTTCTGCGCAAGTCGTTGACTCAAAACTAGAGTCAAAGCCATGTGACTTCATGTAATTTAATAAACAACTTGCAAGCAGGATTATGCTATGCATTGTATTCATATTATTTGGTTACGTTTCGCGTTTTAGGAATACCAGTAGTGCGTGGTAGAGGGAGCACGTGAGTTTATCCTTTTGACGAGGCTCAAAAACAACGCACCCATCATGAAATGGAATTGTGGACATTAGAAGCTTTTAGAAAAGAAAACTGCAATAATGGGTGTGAAAGGGCCAAGTATGCTTTCAAAGATTAGTCACTTTGACATGGTTAATGGTTTTGTTCCTGACTTTTTACATTGTGCTCTACTTGGAGTGGCACATCAACTTGTATCTCTTTGGTTTGACAGCAGTAACCACGAAAGCCCATGGTACATTGGACAGCCTTCCAAACAAACAATTTATGACAGTCTAATCAAGAACATCGTTGTTCCAAAAGAAGTACGACGGCTTCCAAGATCTATAACTACACGCGAACACTGAAAAGATAATGAATACAAAACGTTTGTTTTGTATTACTCACTTTATAACCATTTTTTCCTGTTCGTGTGGGGTCTTCATAAGCTGCTTCGTACTTCTATTTCAAAAAAAGACTTGGCAAACGTTAAAGCTGCACTTGATAAGTTTATTGTGAAGATGGAACAGCTGTATGGTGTTTCCCATTGTACATTTAATGCTCACCAACTGTCTCACCTGACTAAGAGTAATGAGATGTGTGGACCACTATGGGCTGTATCAACATTTTTGTTTGAGAGCAACAATGCTACTCTGAAGAATATGATCCAAGGAACACAGTATGTTTCTGGTCAGATTTGCCATACGTAAGCTGTTTTTGAAAACGTTACCGTTGTTCATGAAACAATGTGCGCAAGGAAACGAACTGGTCTCTGAAATTTTTGAAAAACGTGTACATGGAACGTCTTTGACAAAAAAAGCAGTGAAACTGTTGCAGAATCTTACAGCGTTGAGTAAAGCATAAAGTCGTTACGTTACCGTTGAAGAAAGAGTACCATTGACAGTGGCTACTGGTGGAGTGGTCGACTGCGTTGTGTGCGAATACAACTGATTCATTGTTAAAGGGGAAGTCAGACCCCAAAAAAACTTTTTATCAAATGAAAGATTTTATTTTTACAAACCATATTCCAAAGTTTGAAAGCTCCAATTAAAATTATACCGGAGATATGAAACCACAAAATCATGAAATTTTGCTGTAAAAGCTGCAGCCATTGTATACATGCGAGCGAAGCCGCGATCGAGCAGCGGTTTCCGTTCTTGACGTCACTGCGCGGTGAGCGCGGTAGCGCTCAAAATTTCATATACAAAACAAACACAAAGTCTTCGATGCGTATTTCTTTCTCGATATTTATTTTCCTTTCTTTATAAATATGCCTTACTGTATGGTACCCGGTTGCACTAATTGTTCAAAAAAAACCAAAGGAAGTGAAATATCTTACCATCGCTTGCCAAATGATCAATATATTCGTAAAATGTGGCTAGGGCGAATTCGACGTGATAATTTGCCTAAACCTAATTCATGCTATGTGTGCAGCGCGCATTTCACGCCAGATTGTTTTGAAGGTTCCCTGAAAGATTTATTTGGAATGAAAGCAAAAAAAGCATTGAAACCCGGCAGTGTCCCTTCAATATTCCCCTTTCTGAAGCGTAAACCAGAGCGGGAATCCTCAAGTAAGAGGCAGAAAAGAAAAGCGATGCAAGAGGTAGCCCATTAATGTTATTTTTACAGAATAATTTTTGATATTATTTATCTTGAGCATGAATAAGTATGTATTGATATATATAAGTGAGATCATTATATTAAAATTTCCTTTTGAACATTACACTTGAAACATTTTTTAATTAAATGAATCTAAATTCCACAATGTGCAGGAATTAGCCAGTATGCTTGAACAACCCAGTGATGTTGAAGACTCTTCATTCACATTGTCCATGACCATGACTGAGATAGAGCCAGAAATAGATACTTCAGCTGGAAGAAGTGTGGCACTACTATGTGATAGTGATACTCCAAGTAGTGTTGATGCTGAAACACAGTGTGAAAAGATTTCAACACGCAGTATTGGAGTTCAGACACTGGCACAGAGGAAAAAGCCAAGAAGGAAAATAAAATACAGTAACTTTTCAAAAACCTCTAGTCCCATGAACAATAGTGCACATTCAATGTCAAACCTACCATTAGCTTCTGTTGTTATACCACCAATCATGCATGACATCACCCAGATTGAGAATGCATCATGTGGGGAAGATAATTGTTCAGAGCATGAGGAGACTGTGAATACCATAGATAAAAGCTCAACTGAAAGTGATCTGTCAGATGGTAGTGATGAAGATTATGTGTGTTCTTCACCAAGTTCCAGCAATGAATCGGATGATGATAAGCAAAACACAGAGAGAAAATTCATTGTTTTTGAAAGAAAGCTAGATGAGTTGTTCATATCATGCAAATTTTGTTCTTCCATATGTGAGATTGAAAAATCTACAGTGGGTAGCATGATGATGTACAAGGCAATTTGCCACAAAAATCATATCTTCAAGTGGAAGTCACAGCCTATGTTGCACAATAAACCAGCTGGAAATGTTTTGATACCAGCAGCAACAATCTTTACTGGTTCAACATATGAGCCATTGAAGCAATTTGCAAATGCTTTGAACTTAGGTTTTGTGAACAAGGACCAGTTCTATAATATGCAGGATGAAATTGTCTTTCCAGTGATTAATAGCACCTATAGAAAACAGCAAAAAACTATAATAGAAAAATATACCAAGGTAGACATACCAATAGATTTATGTGGTGATGGAAGATGTGATAGTCCAGGTCACAATGCAAAGTATGGCACATACACGCTGATGGAAGAAAACAGTGGGAAAATTGTTGATTTTTCTTTGATACAGGTATCTGAAGTGTCTTCTTCCAATGCAATGGAGAATGAAGGTTGCCAGAGATCCTTGAATAATGTCATGGGTGAAAAAATCCAAATTAGATCATTGACCACAGATCGCCACATCCAAATAACATCAGAGTTGCTGAAAAAATATCCTCATATTATTCACCAATATGATGTATGGCACTTATCTAAATGGATAACAAAAAAGCTTACCAAAAAAGCAAAAAAACATGCTTCCCTTCAAAAGTGGATTCAGTCAGTGTCGAACCATCTGTGGTGGTGTGCGCAAACATGTGAAGGAAACGCTGATATTCTATGTGAAAAGTGGGCGTCTATTTTGAATCATGTTATAAACATACACCAATGGAAAAATGGTAAGTATTTTAGGAAGTGTTCACACGAGAAGCTTTCTAGGAGGAGAGAAAGAAAGACAAAATGGTTAACACCAGGGTCTGCAGACTACATTGCCTTAGAAGATGTTGTTTTGAACAAGAAATTGTTGAAAGACATAACAAAACTTACAGAATTCCATCACACTGGCAACCTGGAAGTGTACCATTCATTACTATTGAAATATGTTCCAAAACGCCTTCATTTTTCATACAATGACCTGGTTGCAAGAACCCAATTGGCGGTGATTGATCATAATTCAAACACTGAAAGAAAACAAGCTCAGTTGAAAAATGGCAATTCCAGATACAAAATAGTTTTTCCAAAAGGCCGTAATAAATGGATAGCCAAACCAATAACAGAGAACAAATCATTTTCCTTTGTGCAAAGCCTAATGGAAAATGTTGCCTCATATGACCATCAAATTCCAACAGCAAGGTTAAGTAACATTCCCAAAAACATTGTAAATGTACCCAAGCCAAGTAAAGAGGAAGTGATATATGCTCATAGGTCAAGGATGGGCAAGAAAAAATAATGAAACTATACTTGCATCACTCATCAGCAAATTCAAAACCTTTAAATACAAAATCTTCTTCTAGACCAGGTGGAGGGAAATATGCCCGAATACAACAAACAGCACAAGATGGCAAAGGATTCCTTATTTCTTTTCCCAAAATTCCCCAACACCATCTTACAAATTGTCTGTAAGCAACATGCCTTTGCCTCTTATGCTCTGGTCCTTCAAAAGCACTTTTCCCATACTGCTGCTTATATTGACTCCACGCCAATCTCAATACCCAGTAATTTAAACATAAATTTTGGAATACAGGGTTGTCAGTGATACATTCTGGAACATCAATACCCTCGAATTCAGCTGACTCTTCATTAATATCCCTGCAAGCAGCAATCTCTTTGCAACATATACATTCTTCATGTCTGTCCATTATTTGACAATGACCGCATGTACACCTTGAAAGAAGAAAGTCATTTACGGATTTGACTTTGGCGTATATTTCGTACACTTAATGAAAAAAAAAATCAAATATTTGTAGATAACTATTACCAGTACTTATCTTGAAGTCTTTTTGAGCCAGATTCAATTGAAGACTCAGCACTCGTTCCTTGCGAATCGTCGTCGGCGTCGCTACCCGAGTCGATTTCAACCGGTTCATATGAGTAAGGCTGAATCATGTTTTCGTACGCCATTATTTGCTCATTTTCCGGAAATGTATCACTCACAACAGAGTGATCACTTAAAAATTCGTATGAATCATTCGTATCCATCACGTTATTTATTAAGCAAGTTTAAAATGATAAATATAGAGAGCTTTCACAAATGATTATGTGTTATGTGATGTTGATTGAAAGTTCCTTACCGCGCAGTGACGTCAAGAACAGAAGCCGCTGCTCGATCGCGGCTTCGCTCTCATGTATACAATGGCTGCAGCTTTTACAGCAAAATTTCATGATTTTGTGGTTTCATATCTCCGGTATAATTTTGATTGGAGCTTTCAAACTTTGGAATATGGTTTGTAAAAATAAAATCTTTCATTTGATAAAAATTTTTTTTGGGGTCTGACTTCCCCTTTAATGGCAAACTTTATGAAAGTGATCAATACAACAGCTCTATGAAGCGGAAAAACTGCTACGTTAAAGTAACACGTCAAGTTAAAACATTTTTTTGTAAAATAACTGAATTGGTTTCTTTGAAAAGATGCAACTGTCACATACAGTATCACGAAGAATGTGTTAGTCCTAAATTAAACGTAATTGCATGCACCCTTTTCAACGTTGTAAGAAATCAAATTCATAGGTGTACTGTTTTGAACATTACATCTGATTTTATATCAGAGGTGATAGAGTAACCAGAGGTAGTTATATTGAACTTAAATGAAATCGTCTCCAAATGTATCAAAGTTTTCCATAAAAAATAAATTTATCTGATTAGTATGCCTAATATGGTTGAAATGGAGTAGTTATATTCCTGTCGGTCGGTTATGTTTATTAATTGTGCACAAGGTCTATTGTGCCGTAAACAGCACGTAAGCTTTGTAAATATAAGATAAGCCATGTTAATAGCATATTTCTTGCAATATTCCAATTTAAATATAATGTATTTCCATAAAATGGCGCCTTTAAGATACATAATAAAGAATCTTTGTACTATAGTGTTGTTAGAGCATGTTGTTTTGCGTGAACAAACCTTAACAATGGTGTTTAAAACATATTTTTAACAAAATGAGAACATTTGAGTACAGTTTAATGCAAACGATGTAACCGTAATTTTTATATTAGCTATATGTCTTTGTAAACAAATTGTATTAATATCGTTGAAATCTCTCTCTTTTTTCTAAACACGATAGTTTTATCACAATAACTATAACTTTCTTGCAAATGCAAAAGATGTCCACTGTATTTTTCAAAAACACTAATTTTGTGAACAAACTACATTAATACTGTTTGAAAACTAGAGTTTTCGTTTAAACACGACAGTGTAGTTTTTTCATATAAACACTAAAGTTTTCTCACCGTTTGTTTCAGATGAACTACATTTTTCTCCTCTACACATATAAACAAATGTTGTCTCCTAAACACCATAGTTTTTTATAAAAACTATAATTGTCTCCTAAACGCTATAGTTTTCCATATAAACTATAGTTTTCTCCTGTACACAATAGTTGTTTCTTATATAAACTTAGTTGTCTCCTAAACGCTGCAGTTTTCTCATAAAACTATAGTTGTCTCTTTCGTAAGCACTATAGTTTTCCCAGATAACTATAGTTTTCTACTATACACAATAGTTGTTCCTTATATAAACTGTAGTTATCTCCTAAACGCTGCAGTTTTCTCATAAAACTATAGTTGTCTCTCTCTTACGTAAACACTATAGTTTTCCCAGATAACTATAGTTTCCTACTATACACAATAGTTGTTCCTTACATAAACTATAGTTTTCTCATAATGACTACAGTTATCTCTTAAACACTGTAGTTTTCCCACATAAACTATAGTTTTCTGCTATACACAGTAGTTGTTCTATATATAAACTATAGTTGTCTCAAAAACGCCACAGTTTTCTAATAATAACTATAGTTTTCTCCTGAACACTATAGTTTTCTTATAAAAAATGTATTTTGCTCCAAAAAAACTATAGTTTTTATTGTAAGGGCAAAGCTTGACAAAAGACAATTATAAAATTAAAACGATTAGCTAACTCTTTAGCCGCATTTAAAATGTGGACTTACAAACTAGTTTATCACAAAGATATCACACTTCCTGATCAATATTTCTACTTCTAAAACGAGCTAAATATCTAAACTATTCAATGATTACATGCATGAGTCCATTTGCAATTTCAAAGTAAAAATTGAGTCATAAATTTCCTTCAATAATAACACAAGCCATAAAGTGAATAGTAAACACATATTTACAAACAGATGTGTGGCCTTAACGACTATAACAAGCATTTTAACTCTCTTATATACAATCACAACACAAACATACCTTGGTTAAGATGGCAGGGATTTGTTTTTTGTAAGCAAATTGTTGTTGTTTGAATTTGTAACTTTGTTTGATTGATCAACAACTACAGCATTACAAGCTTCCATGGATCACATTTATAAGTCGTAATCGCACATGAACTGAATTCTTTGTTTTCTTGTCTCACGAACCTTTTACTGGTTAACGGCGTGAAGCTTTGAACAGTTCAACTTTCAGATAGATGTAAAGTTCTGACAAGTTAAGCGTCATATACTCATATTCTTCCTTTGATTCGATATGTGGAAAATTATTTTTTGCCACGGAATTTAAAACAATTTAAAAGTGGATTGTTATGTAAAGCAAAGATACAGCCTTATGATTTTTACTGTTTTTGTTCATAAGTTTGAATATAATTTGGAACAAAATGATCAATAGAAATGAGAAGTATAAATTTTACTAAATTATACCGTTTTCAAGATACTTTGGGAGTAAGTGGTGAAAAAACTCTCAACTCCTTACTCAAAAGTTCGTCTTATACAGATGAGGTGCTACAAAAATTCACAATATCACATTGTGGAACTTTAGCTCGTTTTAGTTGAATAAGACAAAATAGGCGTTTGTTGCCTTTAATACAAATGGGAAAAGTAGATCTCATCCTTGTATATAAGATAATTATACATTACATTATAATCTAATAAATCAAATGGAGAGAAAGCTGATAGAGATTCCTTCGGTAGAAATTACAAAGATTTGTTGAGATCAAGACCAATGTTTGGTTGTATGTCCATTGCTGTAATTGGATTACATAATTAGTGTTTGATTAGTTGATTGACCTAATTTTAACCCAAAGAGCCTGAAATATGGCGAAAACTAAATTAGTCAAGAACTGTAAACCAAACAGAACTTCTGTTTTATAGACATATAAACCATCATATGCTTCAAAAGCTCTGTTTTTTTACAAACAAGGTTGTCGAAACGTCAGTCAAAAACAACAAAAACAGTCCTTCTCAGGACTATACCAACCTGGACGATCTACATTTACAAACAAATAACGATACTTCCGGGTTCAAACCATTTACTACATATGTGAACTGTGAAGCGTCTCTTTCCGTACAAAGATGAAGCAGAAGTTATATGCAATAAGCAAAGAATCGTCGGTGACATTATCCTGCCTAAATGTTGTTATTTTAAGAAATATCTAGAAACATTACGAAACAAAAATTGACTTGTATTATGTTGCATGTTGCTATTTATTCAGTCAATCGGAACTAAACAAAATTAGCACACCGCTGTACTTATTCGAACAATTACAGTATTCATCATTACGGAGAAAAACGTTCTCTGGACGACATGTAAGACACGTCAGAAAAGTTTTTAAAACACAATCATAGAAAAAATGGTTTTCAGTGAAAAACGCTCTTTAAAAGTCACAAGAAATCTAAACGACGTTACTTTCTTTGGTGCGATTCTTGTGAGCACATGCATTTATGAGGCTTAGGTGCAATCTAAGCTAAAACGTTCAAAAAATGCAGAAATGGTTAAACACTTACTTAGTCATATAACTTAAATTAATATTTAAATATTGAATGAGTTTGGTGTAAATGATATTAAATATACAATTTTATTTCAATTATGTTCATTTACCAACTTCATTTAGTCCTATTTACTTGATTGGCTACCACGTGTACGCTTTGCGCACCATTTTTTTATAGTCAATGATTTCAAAAAAAGTGTGAGTTTTGTTTGATATATATGTTTCTCTCTTCTAATTTACTCTCTGCGTAATTTCGTGAAGTTTGTTCAAATTCTTTCATGGGCAATCAAATTGTCAAGTCAGGATTAAATCTATGATTGGATAATCCATGATCTAAGGAAGGAACTTATAAATTTGCAACAAGTAAACTGTTAATCGGATTGAAGATCATGGAATCAGGTAAAGATTACAGAGTAACCAAATCCCAGTCTCCCAATGCTCTCATCTAAACAAAATAGTTTGAAACGATTTTGAAACAAAGGAAAGAAAATGATTTTTGTTTTATTAGTTGACTAAGTTGAGGGAAGCTTGGTGTTTTCCTGGTTTCAAAAACCCATGTTAAGCGTTCATTAAACTACGGTGAAGTAAACATTAAAAATGGCTCTTGAAAATACGGTCAAATTATCCGAGAAGTACGAAGCAGTTATGGTTCTCAGTGGAGTGGAGGATGCTCTAGGTTATAAGAATGGTTTGTGGGAATTCTGCTACAGTGGTACTCAAATTCATGAAGAACTAGAAAAACTCGGGGGACTTCATAAAATTGACATTAAAGGATGGAGGGTTAGTGACGACACTGTACTACACATTGCTACAGCAGAAGCGTTGGTTTCTGAATGGGCAACAACGGAAGAGTTATTGAGCATTATGGCAACAAAGTACAAGAAGACATGTGCTGAGGATATGTGGGAAAGAGCTCCTGGTCAGACCACAACAAAGGCATGTTTTATGTTACGACCTCTTGAGGAAAAAGGTTACATTATACCATTTGATGAACGAGGTGGAGGATGTGGTGCAGCTATGAGATCCATGTGTATAGGTTTGATGTTTCCTTGTGAAGATCTAGTTGAAATGTTAATTGAAATTGCTGTTGAAAGTGGAAGGATGACTCATAATCAGACCACAGGTATTCACCTTTCCCAATAAAGCAACGATTTCAGATCATGTATCAATTATCAAGTCAGTAATGTCTAGTGTTCTGTCTATCGACAAGTGTTGCTTAGTATACAGTTTGCTAGGTTTTTGCTAGGTTGACCTTAGGTTTGCATAAGTCTATGCAATCCATCATTTTCCAGAACCACGTCTCAAATGCCTCCATCCTTCTAACATTGCTTGCTTTTAATGACCATATCTTTGATCCATCCTTTTTATCGCTTTTCCAAATTTCCAAATTTCTGTCTCCTAAAAGCTTTTTGAATTGCCATTGCTGTTTTGCTTTTATATCTTCACTACTACAGCCATTGAATCCATGATCCATATCAAAATGCTGCTATTATGTAAATAGGGTCATCATAATGTAAGTGACCTGAAATTAGCAATCTTTAAACATAATGATTTGAATTATAGGTTATCTTGGGGCTGTTACTGCAGCTTTATTTACAGCCTATGCTATACAGAAGATACCTCCAAAAAGTTGGGCAAAACACTTTTAAGTGTTTTACCCAAAGTTTGGGAATACATTGAGAAGGTTGGTCGTGATGTAGAAGAAAACAACAAAGCTTGGAGCTACTTCAAAAATAGTTGGGAGTCATATCTTGAACTACGGGAATTAACCAATGGAACCAGCGAACCAAAGTTTCCAGTGACGTATAACATACCTTAACGTGATGCTTTTTATAAATCTGTGAGTTATACAGGTTGGTGTGGGTCCAGTGGTTATGATGCACCAATGATTGCTTACGAAGCTTTGATGATGGCAAAAGATTCCTGGTTTCAATTGTGTTCTTGTTCTATGTTTCATGGTGGAGATAGTGACAGTACAGGAATATTGGCTGCAGCATGGTGGGGTGGTATATATGGTATGAAAGGTGTACCCCTTGGAAATTATATGTAAGAACATGGAATATGGTCATAGACTTATGGAGCCGAGTAAAAAATTACTGAATGTATCAAAGAATATGAAAAACTAACAGGATAGTATTTTTTAACAAAATTTATGCCATAAATTCTGTCATCCCAATTAACTTTAGTATGTTTGTGAATCATACAATAAAAATTACTACTTGGTTATAACATAAAAACAAATTACTTTAGAAATAAGGTCTAAAAGAGAATGTCAGATTCAGGGCATGGGCAGTTCTAAGTTTTACTTAGGATGATTCCAGGCCTGTAGAGTAAGTTTATTAACTAGTTATCAGTGAAACTATACATAGACAAGGACCATTACATCTTTAGGTTCATTTTACTAACAAAATGGAAACTGCAAACGTTTTATTCACTACCAAAAATACCTTTTGGGCAAGAGGGGAGCTGACTTGTCAGGTGGAAGCCTTGCTCTAACGGTCTATGTGTTAAAAATAGGTTTAACATAATTTGGAGGTACGATTTTCTTTGAAACACGTAGCTACCAAAGTTCAACTGTAAAGCTTGGTCATATTCTCGAGTTTCATATTACAACACACCTAGATTTTTTAAAAGACTTAACGACATCAACCTGACTAGTTCCTAACGATTGTTTTCGAATTTCCAGAGCTTTTTCGTGAAAATCTATAGCTTTGTCGTAGTTTCCAGTTTCACTATATACATTACCAAGATTGTTTAAAGACATAGCGACATCAACATGATTTAAACCGAACGATTGTTTTCGAATTTCCACAGCTTTTTCGTGAAACTCTATAGCTTTGTCGTAGTTTCCAGTTTCATGTAACACCAAACCAAGATTGTTTAAAGACAAGGCGACACTAACATGATTTGGACCTAACTATTGTTTTTTAATTTCCAGAGCTTTTTCATGAAATTCTATAGCTTTGTCGTAGTTTCCAGTATCATTATACACATTACCAAGATTGTTTAAAGACCCAGCAACATCAACATGATTTGGACCTAACGATTGTTTTTGAATTTCCAGAGCTTTTTCGTGAAACTCTATAGCTTTGTCGTAGTTTCCAGTTTCATGTAACACCAAACCAAGATTGTTTAAAGACTTGGCGACATCAACATGATTTGGACCTAACGATTGTTTTTTAATTTGCAGCGCTTTTTCATGAAATTCTATAGCTTTGTCGTAGTTTCCAGTATCATTATACACATTACCAAGATTGTTTAAAGACCCAGCAACATCAACATGATTTGGACCTAACGATTGTTTTCGAATTTCCAGAGCTTTTTCATGAAACTCTATAGCTTTGTCGTAGTTTCCAGTATCACTATACACATTACCAAGATTGTTTAAAGACGTAGCGACATTAACATGATTTGGACCTAACGATTGTTTATGAATTTCCAGAGCTTTTTCGTGAAACTCTATAGCTTTGTCGTAGTTTCCAGTTTCATGTAACACCAAACCAAGATTGTTTAAAGACGAAGCGACATCAACATGATTTGGACCTAACGATTGTTTTTTAATTTCCAGAGCTTTTTCATGAAATTCTATAGCTTTGTCGTAGTTTCCAGTATTATTATACACATTACCAAGATTGTTTAAAGACCCAGCAACATCAACATGATTTGGACCTAACGATTGTTTTCGAATTCCCAGAGCTTTTTTATGAAATTCTACAGCTTTGTCGTAGTTTCCAGTATCTTTATATACATTACCAAGATTGTTTAAAGACCCAGCAACATCAACATGATTTGGACCTAACGATTGTTTTCGAATTTCCAGAGCTTTTTCATGAAACTCTATAGCTTTGTCGTAGTTTCCAGTATAACTATACACATTACCAAGATTGTTTAAAGACGTAGCGACATCAACATGATTTGGACCTAACGATTGTTTTCTAATTTCCAGAGCTTTTTCATGAAATTCTACAGCTTTGTCGTAGTTTCCAGTATCTTTATACACATTACCAAGATTGTTTATAGACCAAGCAACATCAACATGATTTGGACCTAAGGATTGTTTTCGAATTTCCAGAGCTTTTTCATGAAACTCTATAGCTTTGTCGAAGTTTCCAGTATCACTATACACATTACCAAGATTGTTTAAAGACGTAGCGACATCAACATGATTTGGACCTAACGATTGTTTTTTAATTTCCAGAGCTTTTTCATGAAATTCTATAGCTTTGTTGTAGTTTCCAGTATCATTATACACATTACCAAGATTGTTTAAAGACGTAGCGACATCAACATGATTTGGACCTAACGATTGTTTTTGAATTTCCAGAGCTTTTTCGTAAAACTCTATAGCTTTGTCGTAGTTTCCAGTTACATGTAACACCGCACCAAGATTGTTTAAAGACGTAGCGACATCAACATGATTTGGACCTAACGATTGTTTTTTAATTTCCAGAGCTTTTTCATGAAATTCTATAGCTTTGTTGTTGTTTCCAGTATCATTATACACATTACCAAGATTGTTTAAAGACCCAGCAACATCAACATGATTTGGACCTAACGATTGCTTCCGAATTTCCAGAGCTTTTTCGTAAAACTCTATAGCTTTGCCGTAGTTTCCAGTACCAACATACACATTACCAAGACTGTTTAAAGACGCAGCGACATCAACATGATTTGGACCTAACGATTGTTTTCGAATTTCCAGAGCTTTTTCGTGAACCTCTAGAGCTTTGTTGTAGTTTCTAGTTTTTTCAAACACTATACCAAGACTGTTTAAAGACGCAGCAACATCAACATGATTTGTACCTAACGATTGTTTTTGAATTTCTAGAGCTTTTTTGTGAAGCTCTAGGGCTTTGTCGTAGTTTCCAGTTTTATCCAGTACATTACCAAGATTGTTTAAAGACATAGCGACATCACCATGATTTGGACCTAACGATTGTTTTCGAATTTCCAGAGCCTTTTCATGATGATTTTTAGCTTTGCTATACTTCCCGGTGTCATGGTATAAAACACCGAGGATATTAAAATACCAAGCTTTGTCATAACTAGATTCTTCTGATTTAAATTTATCCAATAGTTCAAGTGCACGATCGTATTTTCCAAAATGTCTTAATCTGTCAACAAAATATTGGAAAACTTGTAAAGTGTTCATGTTGATTTTTGTCTTGTTAGTCTTTAATAATTGAACAATTTTTTCAAGATGTGGAATTAATTTGATTTCGTCGTCTCTCTCTTTAAACATGTAAAGTGCTTTAGATATTTGATCAACGTTACTTTCCATTTCATGTTCTTCATTTGAATGTTCAGATTGATAAAAAATAATTGCTTTGTGAACAATGCGATGTAGACTAATGTCATTATTTTCTGATTGCAAGAACAATGAGCAGTCCTTTAAACAAAGACATATATCTTCCTTTGAGTGTTTGGGATCTATTTTCTGAACATAACAAATAATAATGTCACGTGGTATAGGATCAAACGATATCACGGAAAAAAAGTTAATAACATTTGCCAATATTGAGGATTCTTCAGCATTTTGTCTGACAGCTAAAAGTGAAGCTTGTAACATACTTCTAGGATATACCGAGTTAAGTTTAACAAAAGTGGCGTCCATGTTTTCTTGTTCTTTTGAAAATATTTTCTTTAAATATTGTTTCCAAGTAAATGAGCAGTTTGCTTTGTTTGCACGACTGACATAATAACCAGCGGCAGCCAAAGCCAGCGGTTGACGATCTAATGCAGGCGATACTTCATTTAACAATTGATCATCAGCATGTTCAATAGTGTAATGCTTCAACAGTTGAAAACATTCCTTATCATTCATTCCACTTGTTATAGAAATATGTTTGTTAAACCCATCGTCTTGAGGTACGGCATCTGTGTTCTGTATAGTTACTATTATTTGTCCATTTATCCACATGGGATCACCTACTTGGGGAAGTAACGAAGAAATTTTTCTGAGCTGCTCCACGTTGTCTACAATGATCAACCAATTTTGCCAGAATTTTAATCGTGTAGATACTAACGATTGCAAATTCTTCACTTTGTCTGTGATGGAACAGTTTTCATCTTTACAGTTTTTAATCATATACTTGTCACAGTTTAAACGGTATCCAAGTTCACAGTAAGTTTTTAAAAGAGATTCCAAATTTTTTCCATCGAGGGTCATTACAAACGAAGTTCTGTTTTTCCAATCACACGATAATTTTTTACAAACCTGTCTTGCAAGTTGCGACTTACCACAGCCAGGATTACCAGTGATGTAAAAATATGTCAGTTTATCATTGTTATCATTCCTTAATTTTTTAAGATCTATTATAATTCTATCTCGTAATTCAGTGCGCTCAACGAAAAAATGATTAGGTTTTGAAGGAAGAACTTGGAATGAATTAAAACAGTTTCGATGATTTTTTATTTCAATGATTTCATTGAGAGAAAATTTCAAATCTTGAAATGACTTTTCAATGATATTGACTATATCATCAAAATCATCATCTGAACATTCCCTTTCATACCAATGTGCGTACTTGTTTCTTTCACAACGGAAAGCATGAACAGCATCCTTTGTTTTTTTGTCAAGATGCTTTCCAATTGAATTTGAAAAAATTATTGCATCAAATAATATCGTACAGTCCCACTTACTGGTGTCTCCATCCTGATATTTTAACTCTCGTTTTTTATCCAACTTTCTACCCGATTCTAAAGTGCAAAATTTTTTGCCACTATTTTTGTTATCATCCCATTCACCATGTATTGATTTGTAACGAGAGTTCCATTCTTTGATGAAAAATTGAGCAAGTTCCGTTTGTACCACATTGATTATTTGCTGAATGTAAGACAGATTTCTTGTTCCTCTTGATTCCATCTGTACAAAATGATATATCAACATGACTATAATCAAGAAATTCCAAAAATTAAATATACAACATATGACATTTGAAATATACTTGTTTTGCAATAATTTGTAACAAATGACACATTGCCTTGATAGCACAATTGTGTTTTCCATTAGCTATGAAGATTGACCTGTAGAGGTAAAAATTCTTTTTTAATTTTTAAAAAACCATGAATTGTTTACTAAGACTTGTCAATTTAAGATAAATAATAAAATTTAAGCTAAGGTAAACGATTAACTATATAATTAATAAATTGTATGTGAAAAAAATTTTACTTTGCATTAATAAAACAATGCGTTTCGGTTGGTAGATCTTTAACGTGAAATGTAAATAAGCTCAGAAAAACTATGATAGTAAGCCGTAAGGCATCCCTATGATATGATGATCAGAGAAAAAACAAGATACAGGAGCTTCTAGCCGTCTTGGTAAAAGAGGAAAGGTTGGTTGTGTGCTATTGTCAACGGACAGCAGTTTTTTACTGACCCTACTTTCAGTTTTATCTAAATCAAAACTTAGACAAACATTGGTTATGTAAACATACGCATTATTGGTTGGACAGTTTCCAGGAACGTAAAATCTTAAATTGCTTTTTTCAAACATACAATATGTTGAACACGATGGATATGGATTAAAACAAGTGTGTAGAAATTATTTTTTAAGAACAATAAACGTGGCCATGAAGTGAAATAATGAGAATGAAAGCCAGAAAAGAGAAGAAAGTAATATTGATGTTGTCTTGTCCAAATAAGAGCGGGCATTTAAAGGACATAATGAATCCAAGTCTTGCTCAAATCAAGACAACTGTAGAAAGTTTTCAAAACCATTTGGTAAATTTTAGTCTGTTTTTAGCGATTCCTTGCATGCCAGACTACTTGAGTAAGAACGTGGTGATGCAGAAGATGTTTTCAATAATGTATCATGTGAAGCGAGCATTTAGAATTGCTTTGAAGTAAGGATGGACATACATTTGTTTGGGAGTCAAAAAAGAAAATCCATGCAAGGGATACACATACAGACACACAAGCATCAGATGAACCTAGCCAAAACAAACCAAACATATAGACCCTTTGTAGTGACGTCACGCAACCTTAGCAACTGTTGCTGGCGGAGCATCTGGAGGACAAGCACATGTGCACGCTTTATATATTAATATGGCTAGTAACATAAAGTCAGCGCTTTATAGGTCAAAAAAAGGTTTTTTGCCTGGATATATAGAAAATACTCAGTGTAAGAATAGTAAAGCGCGTTACAAAATGAAATTAGGACATTGCAATGAAGATGATCCGTACGAAATACCAAAAAATCAATGGCTCGACGATATCGATCTGTGGCCTGCCTGCTGTCAGCTACATTGATGTTGGCATGTATTTATTATTTTCGGTCAGTGCGTACATTAAAGAGCAGTTAAAAAACTATAAGAGTCTTGATAGTTATCAAACTTTTGTGAATAGACGGGTGCGTGAAGTGTCGGTGAAAAAATATGACGATCATTGCTTGCTTATAGCTAAGGTAAATGCTTCTCAGTTGTCACTAAAAACATTGCACAAAGGTTCAAAGCAGCTTGTCGTACCAACAGAGATTCACCTTCCAAGAGTCGGATCACAAGCATTTGCTATCCAGAGCTGAAGATATTTTCAACTGCAGCAACAAGATGGGGTTGCCAGCATGAAGAGGTGGCAAGAGACAAATATCGGAAATGAGTAAACACAAACCATGAAAATGTTTCAGTAACAAACAGTGGATTCTGGATTCATTTGAACCATTAATCTCTTGGTTCTTCTCAAGATGGAAAATGGTGCTCAAGACCCAAAAAATTGAATAAATGAAATATAATGAAATCAAATGTCTTATGAATATTATTAGTACATTTTTAAGTGTATGCATGCAAAATCTTTTAAAAGATATTATTTAGTCATAAGGTAAGACAGAATCACAAATGTTAATTAGTGCACAGCTAACAGTAACTATTTTGTCAATCTTAGTGGGCTCATTTTCTTTAGAATTGACAAAATCAATTGGCTGAGTTGAACTCAGAAGTGTATATTTCTTTCTAATGTTTCCAATCACTCTTTCCACATGAATCCTCACATTAGCAATTTGTCTGGTTTGTTCAAATTCAATGCCACTACCCTTAGTAAAAGCTGGCATCTTGGTAGTTGCACAGTACAAACCAACTGACTCCTAGATATCAAAGCCTCTATCAACTAAGATTACATCTCCAGGTAAGAGCTTATCAAGGAGACCACTGTTCTCAGTCAAATGTTTGTCACTGACTCTCCCTCCCAGCCACTGGAAACAAAGCTTACTGTACACTGGGGGAGTGACAGCATTTAAATACTTAATTGTGTTGTGGTGCTTGTAGGATGAGTAAGTTTGTGCCCTCGCAAGAAGATTTAATGCAGGATACAAAAAAATCTCAAAGCAGTCAACGATGGAAACAAAAAAAAAAAAATCCATGAGCTTGGTCTAAAATCCATGAGCAAGGTCTTTCTTAAGGCTTCCCTATCAGGCCATAAAATAAGAGGGCTTAATCAATTATAAAGAACAATTACTTGTAAGAAAATTCTTGATACAGTTCCCTTGTTGATGTTTCCAAATCGATAAGCCAAACCTACACTAGTTAAATTAAGTCGCAGTTTCATAACTGTTAAAAGCAATTGCCTATATGGTGACAAAGAGCATTTGGGAGAATGCATAAGGTAGGGGCGTACCAGTTCCAGTGTTGCTGACAAGATCTTCCAATTTGGCAGACCAGTGTAAAAGAGGTCTTTTCGTCATCATTTAAGAAGGATTTCTCGTCAAGCGTCATGTCACTTATCTTGTTTTTTAACTCAAGATTTTCTGGGGTCAAGCGATTTATCTCGCTCTTCATTGCAGTTATTTTATCCAAACTCAGTTCTGTTTGTGAAAATTTGTTGTTGGATTCTGATTCTGACAACGAAGCAGATGTGGCTGATATGACTCCGTATTCTTCGATTGAGTCACTGCTGACAGTACTGTTTCAACGGATTCACTTTTTTTCGTTTTTCATTTCTTTCCGAAATACGAGCAAAGCGATCGACATCAACTTTTTCGACATATGTATGTCAAAGGTTTTGATATGGAGCCCAGTCTGGATTAGTTTAGTCCGTTAAAGCCTATGGTTTCCCTGTCATTGTAAACTAAACAACAAATGGTATAAAATGACACAAACGAACACAACAAAGCTTTTTTCAACTCATTGGCTTACCAGTAACAAAATGAAGGCTGCACACTCGTAAATACGTGCATTTAGAATCGTCAATGTCTGCCCGACGAATTCTTCGAAGCCACAAAGAACGACGTTCCTTGTGTAAATCTTGCAATATTTTGCTCGCATTGGTTTTCACAGCTGGTATGCGATAAAAACTTAATTCCTTATCCGTATCAGCACGCTTTGAACAGCCATAAATTCCGCAAAAGTTAACCATCCTTGACAATAATATTGCTTTGCTATTTACATGTCGCGTTTGCTTGTCCTCCAGATGTAACGTCACCGGGACTGTGACGTCACATGCAATGGGTCTATACTATTTCAAACTTCCTTACATTGGCTCATACTCACACACCACGCAACAAAAACTACGGAAGTTAATAAAACGCTTCTGTGTTGACTTAAAAATCAAATTGGTCTTCTCATCTTACAAAATAAAAAATCTTTTTAGTTTTAAAAACAGTATTCCATCTCTACTCAAATCTTGCGTGGTTTATGAATTTTCATGTGCGGGATGTAATTCCCGTTACGTTGGTGAGACAACTCGCCATCTCTCCACACGCATCAAAGAACACACACATTCCGACAAAAACTCACATATTTATAAACATCTTCACACTTCACCACATTGCAAATCAAAATACAACCATTCATGTTTTCGCATCTTAGACACCGCCAACTCTCCTTTTTCTCTTAAACTGAGAGAAGCGCTCTACATTAAAAAGCTCAAACCAGACCTCAACAAACAAATATGCCACATTAATACAATATTTAACACTAATTCTGTAATTTAACACACTTAACGATAGTCACATACATATATATATATCATGTAAATAGCTAATCACCTTCATTCTATGTACTGAAGATGGCATAAGCATGCCGAAACATGTTTACGATTAAAAAACTCGTCGTTCATTTAAAATGTCTAACAATATAATTCCTGAAGGTTGAAAGTGTTGAAAATAAACTCGATCAAGAAATTAAAATCTCATCACGACAAACTAAAAGAAATGGGAATTGGGAAAAATGATAAAAGATATTGCTTGCAGGTTTACCGGAAGACTACAAGCCACTGATTATAGCTTTAGATGCGATTGGAGGAAAATCTTTTCAAAACGTTAAAGGCATTTTACTGAATGATGCTCATCTAATACTAAATACCAAAAAAGATGAAAAGACTCACGCTGCTCACTGATCATTTAGGGTGAAAGGAAAAAAAGGACTACAGCAAAAACAAAAATAAACGCCAGCATTCTTATAAATGAATATGTCACTCATGAAGACATTTTACACGATATTGTCTACAAAGAAAGAACAATTTAATCTTTTATTTCCACTACGAAGGAAAAAAGTCAGCACATTGTGCTAAGAAAGATTATCAAGAAAAATTGATTAGGTGGCGTTTATCACAAATAAAAAGAGAATAGATTTGATTGGATAGTTGATTCTGGTGCCACTTAGCATATGATGTTTGAACATGACTATTTGTCGGACTATGAAGAGTTGAGAAAGCCAACGAAAGTCATTCATGGGGATGAACGTTTAGTATTGATTTATGGGAAAGGAACTTACCACTTGGCCATTGATTTATATAAGTCACATCAACGTAGCGTAATCTGGGGCAAAGTGCAACATTTTCCAGTGAAAATGAAATATCTGAGCCGTTAAACAAAGCTTAAGCTTAAAAGTCAGTCAGTTGCTTCTCCGTGATGTATGTCATGTAAGAAAAGTAAA